CCAAGCTGATGATGAAGCTAATACTGCAACAATTGATGACTATGAACCATTTATAGAGGATTACTCACTTTATGTTGATTATGATGCTGAGTTTAATGTTCAAACTTCAGTTGAACAACAACCAGAAGTGGATTATCTAGAGATTATGGTGAGTGATGATAGTGGAGAGCCATTCTATTATGAGAGTGGCCATGGTTCTGAGGATAGTAGAGATGATTATGATGACAATGAGTATAATGTGGATGAGTCTAACATACAATTTGATGTAGATGTAGACATGAGTGAATTCCATAATGTGGTTGATGTAGATGAACATGGAATCTTGAACAATCATTCAAAAGATGAATGGAATGACATGGTTGATGATGATTTGGAAGTTATTGCCACTGATGATTATCAATTTGCGGGATTTTCATGAAGATGATAAGAAGAGACTGCTAAAATAATTGAGTAAGTCAAGTACATGCTCACATGGAGAGGCTCATGTAAAACCATTTCAGATTGGCCAGGTCTTCAAAATCAAGCGTGATGTTAAAAACTACATGAACTCACACACTGCAGCAACAAGGAGGTGTTTATAGCTAGCAAAAAATGACAAAATCCGGATTAGGGTGAAATGTAAAGGTTTTGTAAGTAAGCCATCTAAAGTAGTTGATGGTGGTGGTCCCTCAACTAGAAGTAGGGCAAAATGCAAGGGTAAAGATGTAATTGCTAATAAAGGTACATGTCCATGGGCAGTCAAAATATTGAGGGCTAATGAAAATCGGGATTGGTTGGTGAAAATAGTACAGGATGAGCACATATGTTTGCGAACAAGGGCAGTTAAAGCTTGCACTTCCAGATACATAACAAACTTAATTGTTCAACAAATTCAGAGTAACCCTAAAATTCCAGTGAAAGCTTTACACGAAGAGTTGTGCAAGAAACTAGAGGTAGGAATGTCATTGCAAAAGGTTGCTAGGGAAAAGTCAATGGCTAAACGTGTCATTAGTGGGGACTACCAAGTACAGTATGGATTTTTGAGGGATTATGTGTTGGAGCTACTCAACACTAATCCTTGTACAACAGTTCAGTTTGATGTGTATCTAGAAACCTCCCTGCCTATTACCATAATAACTTTTAAGAATATATGTATGTCTGGGTTCATTAAAGTTAGGATTCAAATCCGGGTTAAGAGATTTTCTAGGTCTAGATGGTACTTTCATGAAGGGCCCTTACCCTAGGCAAGTGTTAACTGGTGTACGGTTGGACTCAAACAATGGCATATACCCTGTAGCATATGGAGTGGTAGAGACAGAAACAACAAGTAGTTGGACCTGGTTCTTGGAACTGTTAGGAGAAGATCTGGATCTGGGAGCATTTTCAAACTTTACATTCATTTCTGATAGACAAAAGGTGTGTATCACCTAACTTTTTTTTAGTGTCATTTCTAAATACATTTGGGTAACTGATGTTGCATACATTGACTTTTGTTTAGGGAATAATACCAGTAGTGGAGAAGGTATTCCCTAGTGCAGAACATAGGTTTTGTTTGAGGCATATCCAGGAAAACATGAAGAAACAGTGGAAAGGAAAAGACTTAAGTAACCATATTTGGGAGTGTGGTAGAGCAACAACAGTCAATCATTTTAACAGAGTAATGCATGAGTTGAAGAAGATCAATGAAGAGGCTCATGCTTGGGTGTGTAAGATCCCATCAAACACTTGGTCTAAATCTCACTTTAGTGGTAAGTTTCTAGAAATTTATTGATAAATGTTAATCTTCCTTGTTGTGTGTTTACTAATTGTGTAATTGTCTTCTCTTAATATCTATTATTCCGGAAGGCACAAAATGATTTTTTGTTGAATAACCTTTGTGAGGTATTTAATTCTAAGCTAGATGAAGGTAGGGATAAACCTATTATCACTTGCTTAGAGTATATTAGAGAGTATCTCATGAATAGGTTATGTGTGGTGCAAAAGGAAATAGATAAGTGTGAAGGACTTCTAACCCTTACTGCAACTATAGTGTTTGAAAAGATTAAGACTGATGCAGCTAAGTATGTGGCTAAATACAATGGGACAGGAAAGTACCCAGTGGCAAACACATGGCAAGACCAGTATGTGGTAAACTTGAATGACCAACGTTGAAGTTGTAGGTTTTGGGAGATTACAGGTTTCCCATGTAGATATGTTGTTTGTGCTATATGGGACAAAATTGAAAATGGTGAAAATGCCCCACATGTTGATGAATGGGTCCATCCTTGCTATAGGTTATCAACATGGAAAGCCATGTATTTCAACAAAACTGATCCATTGAATCGACGTTCAATGTGGCCTAAAAGTGACTGCCCATTCACTTTACTTCCACCAAAACATAAAAAACAGGTTTGTATTTCAAGTAGACCAATTATATAGTAAACATGTGAACATGGAATGAATTCAATTTTAACTATTGTGTATCAATATGTGTAGGATGGAAGGCCTAAGAAGAAGAGAAGCAGGGGTGTTGATGAGCCAAACAGCCAACCTGGTAGATTGAGCAGGAAATATCTGGCAGTCACTTGTTCTAAGTGTCATAACAAAGGGAACAATTCCAGAACATGTAAAGGGCAGGGAGACAGTTGTGAAGTTGGAGGGGGCTGAATAGTATTGTTAGTAGTTGGACCTGGTGCTAGTGTTGTAGGTCTTTTGAAACTAAAGTCATGTGTAATTGTTTGAAGATGTATTAAGAACTTTTCAGGAATTGCATGTAATGCTTGTGTTGTAGGTCTTTTGAAACTTAAGTTAAGCTTGTGTTGTAGGTCTTTTGAAACTTAGTATGATGGTTGTGTTAAGAACTTTAAAAATTTTCATGTAATGGTGTGTATGCAGTATGCACATTTTGGTAATGAATTAATTTGTTTTGTGTACTACCCTTCACAGATCAATTAATAACATTGTACATTTCAATTGCAAATCAAAACATTCTTAAATGAGCATTTACAATACACTTAACAATTGCATTTCAAAAACATTCAAGAAATTGAACAATCAACTATTACAAACTACATTCCATTACCATTACCATTACCACTCCATTACACATTAATCTGATACATAAACCAAATACAACAACACCAATTCCAAAACCTCCTACATAAACTGAAAGCAAAAAAACCCCTATTCGGATAGAATAAAAAAAACCCCTGCAATGGTTACAAACCAAAAACCAAAACTCCATTACCATCAAAATGTTCACAAGATACTTAGAGATTAAAATAATACCAAAAAAAAACACCCATGAATAAAACAACACCAGCTGGTAGTTCCACAATTCTGCACTTGCAATGACAACCCTCTCTTCCAATCGGTTCATTGATCTTATCAAACCTAGAATCACCACCAATGCCCAAGCACACATAGGAGGATCAGACCATCGAAGGAACCCACATCTTGTACAGTTCTAAAATTGTCTTCCAGGGTTACAATTCGTCCATCAAGTGATCTTCATTACTTCATTCCCACATCTGCAAGTCACCATCTTTGAATCAGAAGCGATTGGATGTCGTGAAGGGTGCAACGGTCGAGCAACAGTGGAAGGGAGAAGAGAGATGACGACTGATAAAGGTAAAGGGTTTGCCCAAAAACCGGACATGCAGTTTCTTTTAAAGAGAGAAGGTTACAACTGAAATAACGAAATTACCCCTGCAATATAAATTAAAAATGAGTTAACGGTGAAATGCTAACGGAGTGAGCCGGAAGGACCAAATGTTAAAAGTTTTGAAACCACAGGGACTATCTGTGAGGTTTTTTGAACTTAGGGACTAAACTTAATATATCTGAAAACCACAGGGACCATTTTTGAAGTTTTGTCTAAAATAAATATTTTGTTTCTAATCTAAAACAATTTATAATTGTATGTAGATTGCATGTATTTTGTTTGACACTTATTATTAGGATGTTTAATTACTTATGCTAGACTATTATTAGACTTTTTAATGTATTTGTTTTTTTCTTCTACATGTGTTAAAAAAAACTGGATTTTTTATATTTATACGATTTTCTTTAAATGATTTTACCGACGGAATAGTGACTGAAACATTTATCATGTCAATGTATGACAGTCGGTGTCCGTCATTAATCAGTCACAAAATCAACCGTTCGTGATATTTACCAATGAGGTTTTTACCAACCCACTTCCATCCAAATTTCCTACAAAAAACGGGTTATAGGAAAAACCCTCGTGGGTAATTTTTCCTACAAATTAGCTACAAACCTACCTACGCATTTCCTATGGAATATTTTGTTACAAATTTAACTACGGAATACCTACGGAACACGTTAACTGCGGAGTACCTACATATTACCTACGAGTTATTTACCTATGAAACACCTACAAAATACATGCAAATTATTTTCTTACAGAATATCTACAAACTGATTTTCTTACAGAATCCATACCAACATCTTTTTCCTACAAAATACCTACCAACATCTTTTCTTACGAAATACTACCAACTACTTTTGCTATAGATTACCTACATACTTTATTGGATTTTATTTCCTACATAATATTTATTTCTTACAAATTTTCTATGATTTTTTTACCAGTTTTTATTGCTATATTAAATTTATAATTCCTACAGAATATTTATTTCCTACAATTCAGTCAAAAATCTATTGCTCTATTAAATTTATAATTTAAAAAATATTCAAATTTTCTGCTAAAAAACCAAATAAATAATTAAAATAATAGTCAAATACCATTACATTCATTAACATTAAAATAGTCAATAACATACCATTCATACATTCAAATACTCAAAATACCATTACAATACCAATACCATTATAAAAGCTAAGAACTAGTCAATAACATAACATTCATTAAGTGTTTTAAAACAAAAACTAAGAACTACTTGGTGGATTACCGAACAAATTGATTTTTTTCATAAAGGCCGCCAATTGTCGTTGCACTTGCAATTCCAATTTCATTTCGCATTTGTTGCATTTGCAAATTCATTTCACCTTGCTTTTCATCCATGGCTTGTTGCATGTTTGATACTTGCTATCACAACTCATTTACCTAAATATAGCAAGATAAACACATACAATTAGTAAATGTAATTCAACTTTAAACCATGATTGCAATGTACTTTACTTTTAATTCAATACAAAAACACACTACTCATAATAACAATGTACATTGTTTTTAATATCCATAATAATAACTTTTAATATGCATAATAATAACATAATATATTTTTATCAATTACAGCATTGTACTTTACATTTCCAATTCATAATATCAATGTACTTAAATTATTATCAATAACAACAATTTACTTTACCTAATATCAAAAATAGCAACATACTATAATTTTCACCCATTATAGCATTATGTTTTACCTAATTTAATAATAGCAACATAGTATCATTTTCAACTATAAGAACAAT